ATTTTAATTAAAAGTTATCACTCTGTTAGAATCTTGCAGCATCCCATACCTGCAAAAAACCTTAACTTTGAGGCTATTCTTCTTTAACCAATTCTTGCTTCTTTTAATTTTTTTAAGGTGAACATGACTTTACTCACTCCTTGATCCTGACATCAGGAACGATCATCAGCAATCCTATGACAATGTTCATATGACAGAGCTGTGAGGGTTTAATCCTGGCTGGAAAGATTGAGGCGCGCGACAGAGAGCAGCATCTAAACAAGCTTTGGGCGCATTAAGAATGGGCATCCTTATGAGTAGAAGCAATAAAAAAAATTGGGCTGGGATTTAATCAAAAAAGCGGTGCTCAATATTCAAGAGATGCTACCCCTGCCTCTGCTTTTGCATCAGTAGGTTTACAAATGAGAGCCCTCTTTAAGTAATATGGAAATGGTTACCTGGCTAAAATGCATTCATTCTCCTGTGAATCATCAATCTGCTGTTTTTGCATCACATTTTAGTTTATAACCTGCAACCTTCGCCAAGGATAATGGAGTGATTGGGCTTGGTTCAAGTCAATTCTAATGGCAAAACATGAATACCGTTTCACAGTGAAACACCCTTTATTGATTATTGAAGACACATTAGGATGAAAGATAAAAGGCTTGCATTTCAATCAAGTTTATGTTTTCTGATAGGCTAGTCACAGTTTCACACTACAGGTGCTCTAAGCTCTCCCGATTTACTGTGGAAATGAGACTTTTTTTTTTTTTTATTTCATTTAACTGTAAAAGTCTCCGACTGCCTGCAATGACTATCTACTGATTACAGCAACATTTCTACTCCTATACCATAATCTGTCATTTGGCACGTTTCTGCTATTGTTTTCAGCTCATTTGCCTCCTTCAAGCTCATTTGTGGTTACCTTAAAAGAAGCATGAAAATAATTGAAGAAAAATAGAATAATGGAGCAAATTGTGAATCTGATTTAGTTGAAGACTGGATGCTGGTTAATGATCTATGTTAATAGTTAGGGGCTTTTCAGTTTAACAAATATGAAAAGGAGAGAAATTCCACTCTCACCAATTTCCACAGGGCAATGTTGAGGTAGTCCTGTTCGAACTGTGCAGTGTGGCTCCTTTATTTGCAAACATTTAGCTATAAAGCTTTTTTTTTTTATTTCCGTCACAGACACAAGTACGCTTTGCGAAGAAAAAAAAAAAAAAGAAAGAAAGCCCACGTACAAACAGCCAACACACGCTCATGCTCATTTATTTGAGGACCCCACGAATCTAAGTAATTCTGCTTTGGGCATGGTGCTGATGGGAGTGGGGTGGGGGGGTGATGGAAGTGCCTGCGTCCAGGCAGAATTGATCGTTCAGCAGCTCCAAATGATAGTCAGGCTTGTCTGTGGAACCACGAGGGCCGTGCAGTTGGACTCCAGCAGCGCTCGTAAAGTGCGCTCTTTAAACTGCCGGGGCCCCTGGGAGCCCATGGGGAGGAGGGGAGCCGCCGCCGCGCTAATGAGAACTACCAGAGTGCAAACATGCATGGAAATGACTGTTATTCTGTTGATGTGCATTTAAGTGCTTTTTTACTGCCAACCACAAAGAGAGGGAAATAACTGGTGATGAATGGTACTCCCGAAAAGCATTCATTTTCCTCTTCGGAAGAAAGGAGACGAAAACAGAGGAGGGGGGGGTGGAAACAGAAACTAAGATGGAAGGTAAAGACGGGATGGGTTCGGTTTGGGGAGGGTGTCAGATATGGTGAATATATTATCTTACTACAGGCAAGTACGTTGACAAGGCGGCAGTAAGCGGGGATGCATCGATAAAAGAAAGTTAACCTTCACTGTTCCCCTCCTCCAAACAAGCTGCTTCCATCAAAGAGCAGCAGCCAAAAAGGTCACAGCGATCAAAGCCTTGATCACACAATCATGAAAATTAGCCTTGTTTCATCTACATAGGGGGGAAAAATGGTTGAAAAACAGAAGTTCGATTATATTGCACCTCTCTAGTTCATCTCTGTTTGTAAAATGTAGGATTGAATCTGTGAATTGGACTGAGTTGCTCTTAATCTGCTAAATCTAAGGTTTTAGCCATGAATGAGAGCTAAACCCTAAGAACTATTCAACCCAGATTCAAGTTCTAAATCTCAACTTTCATAAAGTAACAATTTACTTTAGCCAATTTCCATTAAGCAGCAGATGTAGTAGAATGGTCAAACTTTTTATACTCAATACTATCATGGGCAGTGCAGAAAAGGTATAGGGTAGAGTATTATGTTTATTAATTATAATAAAGAAACATAATCACAGAATGGATATTTTTTTGTCCAAAGTTCTCTGCAGTGCAGAGAACCTCGGAAACGCTTCTGACCATGGATGGGTCTGGTTTCTAAAGCGGATCATGTCAGTGTGAAGTCAATCCAGAACCGGCACGCATATTTTGACACCATCACCACTGCTGGTCTCGGCGCGGTTTATCTAGACGCTGTAGCGGTCGTCCGCATGCAGCGTCACTGTGTGCTCCAGTGGACCCCAAAGCAGGTAAAGGATTTAAAGGAAGAGTAGCACATTTGAGAGGAAGAAGAACAGAAACAGGGGAGATACTAAAATAATTCAGAGCTCAAATCTAAAAATGACATGCTTGGAAAATGTCTGGTGGGTACATGTGGATTCGTAGAAAGGTAGGTTGCCATAGTCTCTAGCTACATTATAGTTTTGGACAATATCATCCAAAATCCCAAACATCGTATCAACTTATCTAGTTATACGAGCATTTTTTAATGAATGAAAAACTCAAATGATATTGTTTTAATTGGCTACTTATTAATGAATAATAGCTCTGCAGCTCAAAATATTCATTTGGGTATGCTGTGATAACAAACATGAAGCACAGTGCTTGAAGAGTCACTGTTTTTACAGCTTTATATTACACTATTGCAGTGTTAAGCTTCCTCTACAATGATGTGACATAAACGTGTGCAGACTTTTGCAGTCTGGAAAGTTTTAATACTTGACTGTTGAAGGTGTGGGAACTTTGCTAACATTTGTGAATATCTTGTATAATCACATTCTTAAATTAATCTGTGAGGTTATGGGACGAAGAGAATGTTTTATTTGTTTTACTGTGTTGCTTTTTAAAGAAAAACATCCAACAAATAGAATCTCTGTTTAGTTTGTATCTCTGTATCATATAGCATAAACAAATATCAAGTTCCCCTGGTTTATTCTGTTCACTTGTGTCACCAGATACCTAAAAAATGTTTTAGATGTTCCCTTTTAACAAAAGAAGATGTGAACTGTTTTCCTACTGACATATTTTTTTATGTTATGAGAGTTTTTGAACTGAAGCACCAGCTCCTTGTTATGAATGCCACCATAATCTTTTGGCACTGGTAGCCAACTCTTCAGCGTGGAAAGTCATCATTTGCTAAAAGATTTTAAAGTCGCTAGAAATGACTAGATGATAGGACCATCTCGTTTGAATATTTGGTGATGCTTTAAACCAGCCAGTAGGAGAGTGGAATATCAATACCGGGAAGACAAAAGGTGATTATAAACAATCTAAATAAACTAAAAATGAACTCTACAGAATCATTTAAAGTATTCAATAATGCTTTACCTGAATTAAAACTACATAAACTGATCTTGCCATGCTGTCAATTCCAACTTAAAGGCATTTAGCAGAGTCAGTGGTTGAGGCTATATATGAACTAATTGCAGGAAGGCATCCAGTTTCAAAGGCACCGCCACCCCATTCCCCAATTTTTGGATTGTGAAAGTCTTCAAAAACACAAAAATCTTTTCTACATTTTTCACTATTAGCTTCTTTTTTTTTTTTTTTTTACTCACCAGAGGGGTTTAAAATTGAGTATAATGAAAACGTTGCATAATTGCTAACAGTGGGTTTTGGATGAGCGAGGAAAGAATACCTGTGTTTTTTTTCCCAAAGTTTTGTGACACTAAAATGGCCTACTTATTTGAATCCTTAAAATATTGTTTGCCTTTTTTATTTTGTTTCAGTTTTCTTAGGAAAGTACAACTGTTTCATCTGCAAAAATCCAAAGTTTGTGTTTTTTCATAAAAAAAAATAACAACAGACCTCAGCTCTTATAGAGCTGCAACCTTTAACCTGTTGCAAGGTGTGTTAAATAGTTTTTGCGATGTTCATTAAACAATTTTATGTATTTATAATGTCTTTTACATCAGCTTTTTTGATTGACCCACCTTATCCCTGACCGAGTCGCAGATAAAGCGCAAGACAACTAAAATGACAAAAGAGAGTTTTTGAGAATGTAACATCATATAAAGAAAATGTTTTATCTTACAGTGTTTGTGGATTGCAACTCACAAGCTGCAGAAACATGATTACGACCAAACAGATTAGCATCTTACTTAATTTAGGTGGTTTAGAATAAGGATAAACTGAGCTTACTTCCAACATCTTATTTTCAACCCAAATACACTTCCAATTCATTTAAAAGGTTTCTTCCTGTTTTTAACACAACTCCATACCTTTATACTACATTTTATATAGACAACATCCTTACTGTTAAACGCTTTTGAGCATGAATTCAATGATACATGTTAACGTGATAAATTTGGCTTAATGATACTGAAACTATTTCACTGTTAGGTGTGTAATTTATTCTACATGAATTGTGCTGCTTAAAGTCTTGATATAGTCTTGTGTATAATGTGTTTTTATTTCTTCTCTCTTTTGGGTGTTCCTGTGAATGTTTATTGTTGAGTATAGACTTTGTGGACTCTGCTGCAAATGAAATGCCTCTCAGGGACAATAAAGTTATTTCAATTAAATTACCTTCAGCCATGCTGTAGTTTAGGCAGACTAGATGGCACGTATCTAATGTGAGAATGTTATCTGCGGTCATTAGAGACTCAAGAGATGACTTGAAGTTGCTCCTTAAAGATTTCGGCGTAAAAAAAATTATTTGTGAATTTCCATGATCACAGTGTATGTATCGGATTTTTACTGGAAGGTGGGTTAGCTTACGGGCTCCGCTGCTTGTACTGGTGTTGATGGCTTCATTCCACTGGTCAGCACTGGACACAGAGAAGGAGCGCTGGTGCATACCATCTTTACTGCCACCGAACGCCGACCCACCCGCCTGTAGGGAAATGCTGCTGTTGGAGTGAGTCGCACCTGTAGAAGAAGAGAAAAGGGTGAGAAATAAATTCTTTGGGAAATTTGAAGAGATTTTAGCAACTGGATCTTTCTCACAGGAAGCCAGCAGAGCAAAACTAGCAAAGTGCAAAGAAGGCAATTTTATTGCATTCTGATTTTTTTTTGTACTTTCATTCCTTCTTTATAACTTTGTAACTGAAACCATAATTTTGTTTATTTTTCTGACTTGCAAATTTATATTTTAAGACATGTATGTGTGTAAAGAAGAAATAACAATTTTTCAGTCATTTTTGTTTTTTATGTTTAGGGCTGCAACTAATGATTATTTTGCAAATCAAATCATCTGCTGATTATTTTCTCGATGAAACGGTAATAATAGCCAAAACTTCCTTAAAGAAGATTTTTTACTTAAGTTAAACCCGGTGAAACTAAAATTTTCCACTTTAGGAGTTCTGGATAGACCATATTGACAGAATTTTTTTTTTTTTTTATCCGAAATTCAAAATGTTTATGTATTTTTTACAATTTTGATAGAATCACTGCCTAATTGGTTTGCTTTGTCAGCTAAAGGCATGGTTTACATCATCCAATTAACAGTTGATCGATAACTAAATTAGCTGAAGATTATTTTAATAATTGATTAAATACAATTAATCAAATTAATTGTTTCAGTCCTATTGGAAAAAAGTAAACAAAAAGTATGTTTTACATAAAAAATAAACTAAAATACCTAAAAATGCCTTTTTTGTGGACAAAACAAGACCCCATGTTTAAATGTTTCCTACTAATTTCCTACTTATCTTAGAAGTAATAATAAAAGATATCACCATAACAAATAATGCACATTTGTGATAATGTGACAAGCTCCAAACTTCATCTTGTGTCAGATATGCACCTTTTTGCATCTACTTAAGAATACTTAGTTATTTTAAAATCATTTATTTTTATGTTTTACTCTGCTAACATGAAAAAATTGTGAACAAGTAACTGAGTATGCTTAAGAGGATGCAAAAGAAAAAAATGCATGAAGCATTATTTTTCAGGATATCCACAAATAGTACAAGTATGTTTTTTTGCAAGTGTTTATTTATAAGTTTTTGGTCACCGATATTTCTCTTGTAATGAAAAGATAAATGTGACAAAAACTCAGAAGTCAAATGAAGGGTCTCCTACAGTCACAATTGTCTGTAAATTGTCATGTTAAATTAATTATCAATTGGAGGGGAAGTTTAATCTTTATTTTAATTTTTCAAACACACAGTGGGAAATAAAGCCAAAGGTACATTCCTGCAGATTTTATTAGCTAAAAATGTTACAGTGCTCATATTTCAATCTAATAAAGTACCTTTTACAACAATTATTGAATAACCCATTGTCTGATGCTTTTCATGACATGTTACAAAGAAGAACCGCTAAGTATAAAAACATACACAGCGTGTTTCTGTTGGTTCAGCTTCAAATAATCGAGTTAAAGGAAAGGAAACATTCTAACAGTCTGTAATGAACTGATATACTGCATTTATTAACAGTTTTTGTAGTTTGAGCTTCACCCTGGCAACACCACCAGCTTATTTCTACACATATTTCTATCAACCAACCACCCCCTCTCCTCATGCAGACACAAACACACAGAACCCTTTTCCCTCCGCCTCTGCCTCTAATTAGCCCTTAATTAACAAGATACACTCTGAACGCTAATTATCTTGCTTCATCCCTCTGACTGCCACATCGATCTCCACTGCGTCAGCAGGCGTTCTCTCCCTAACTTCCAATCAGGCAAGCCGCGGACGCCTGGCTCTCTTTACTAATTCATGGGCAAGGATTCGCCGTGTGGGGTCATTTCCCTCCTATGTGAACAGTTGCTGCCACACATCCCAGCTACACTGACAAATTCATCGTGCATCAATTCAGTAAGTGCATTCAGATCGACCGTAGCATTCTACCATTGCCATTCCAAATGGAATATTTTTTCTGTTTAATAAATATCCAAATCTGACATTTATGAATGTATAAAAGCTGCACTAGAAAAACAAATCAATCCTCTAAATATGAAAGTTAATTTAACATTTCAATGTTGTTTTTTTGAGAAACAACAAATGCCCAGACTTCGATCTATAATGCTTACCTTATTTAACATGTGTCACACATCAAGCTTGTTTCATGCACTAATTACAAGACAATATCAGTTTTTGATTGAGGTGATAAGAGAAAATATACTCTATGGCTCGTGTGTAAAGTAAACTAAGCGGCACGGGTGCTTGTTAGGGTAATATGTCCTACTCATTATCTAGAGTAATAAGTGTATCAAATTCACATAATCATGTCTAATTAGTATCAGTAATTATCTTGTTGGGCCCAGGAATATTAATCTTCAGGTCCCAGAGGGGAGGGAGCAGAATCGCAGCAAGAACGGGAGACAGAGTGAGGGAATCATGCTGAGGAGCACTGACTAAATTAGCATGCTGAAATCAGAGCAGAGGAAGGGAAGGGGGGGTTAGAGGAGGGGGGACTTGGAGAGGAAGAATAAAAAGAAAATCGAAAACTTTGTTTTATAAAAGTATGAATGAATAACAAGCAAAACAAGCCTTCTTTTTCCTGCTCTCGTTATATTTGCAGAAAATATGTTATTAAAGATGGCTTTAACACCTCAGCAACAGGATTCCCTTTGCAGCTCTGCAATACAAATATAAACATTTTTTGGTTTTAAATTTACAATTTAACCTCAATGAAAACTTTTCAGGTTTCTAATTTAAAAAATAAAGAAAGTAAAGTTAGATTATTTTTAATTACAACAAAAAAGGAGACAGAAACCATACACAGCAACTTACTTACTTAAAATTCAACAATCATGTCTAATTGTCAAATTGGATGCTAATGATTAATGAATTATACATGGCTGTATCCATTAGTCCCCAGAGACCACTCCTGCATAAAGGGGAGGATAATGTAATTACAGCATAGAAATAATCAGCTTGGGGCATTAAAAAAGAACGACATGCACACACGACTCCATCCAGGTCTGAGTGAAGTGTACTTCAGACCAACAACAATGACCATGATCAAACTGAGGGTTAAGCGATAGGACTTCACTCTTGCATGGTCGTTGTCAGTTGTTGTAGTAGTTTTCCCTATATGGTAAATTAAAAAACATTTGTGTCCACCGTTCACATTTTATGAATGAACTTAACTAAGCCCATTTCATTTACTGTTATTAACAGTTTGGACCTGTAACAGCTGGCTATAATAATAGTATTATGGATTCCCTTCCTAATGTGGATAAAATATAGTCTTTTTAACAACTTTCATACTTTATTTATCTGAGATAAAAGCAAAATGAAAAAGCTCCATGTTCCACATTTAGTATACAGTTTAAGCATTTTTTTAAACGGTAATCTAATTTAACTTGATTTGAATATCACGTTTTAGACAATATAGTCGTTCTCTCTTCATGAAACAGAGTAAAGTGTGTTGCTTTTAAATACTGACTGATATCACTAATCCTTGTGTTTTTAGCAGAAATAAGCACAATGTGAATATTGTAATGTAATTTTGTTTTACTGTCAGAGCACTGAGTCATGCAAAGTTATTAATTTGAGGCTTTCCAAAAACTAAGTTTGCCTATTAGTAATTATTTTACAATACAAATTATTGCGCAGTAATAAAATGACTGTGAATCCAATTATTAAAAAAGTAAACATATTTACTTAAAATCCGAGAACACTTTTAAGGGTGTAGGCTAGCAATATTTCTGTTAAACTTGTTCTTACAAATGTTACAACATTTGAGTCATATTCGACTAATGAACTCTTTAAAAGGCAGAATCCAACTGTGGACTGTATTGTCATGAATATAAAGAGATAACAGAAGTCATATAGTGTCTACTGCAGGCTATCCAGGGCTGGGGTGTTAAGTGGAAGCGATGGATTAGCGGGGAGCAACTCTGCCTTGCTTCTCATTTCTCTTTAGGCCGGGCCGTCAGTGGACTGATGAGCCGTGACGAGGCCTGACCCCTCCGTGGAGTTGTTGCCATTATGTACAAGTAGTGAGATAATGAAGCATTCATGCTAATGTCGGCCGGGCAACACATCATCTGTGGCGGTGTAATCCACCGCCATCATCACAACCCCCCTGCCCCCACTTCCCATTCTGCTGGAGCAGCTAGTCCCACCACAAGCCACTTAAAACATTTGTATTCACAGTTGTGCTTTCAACACTAAAAACAAGGCCAAACAAAATAATAATACAGACTTTAACACTTTTATTTGTTGCTAGTACAGGGGAATGCTTTATTATTATAAATCATATCTTGTGGCGTTTCAATCAGCAGTGGCAATGGTTCCAAACAACTGATAAGCAGTTCTAATGAGCCATTCTTTGAATAAAATACCAAAATATTGACCCATATTATTCTTTTTAATAAATTAAAGTCTATGATGTGATGAGCTAGCCAATCACAGTCAGAATTTGCCTGGTGAAGTAAGTTTAAGCCAGTATTGTGAGATTTAGACTTAACAGTAAGGAAGTTAAGGCTGCAACATAACCCACAAGACCTAAGACATTTGTTCTCGCTCCTGCTGCTAATGGGACTCTGTCTTTTTGTTTTCTCAGCCCCGTTTGGAGGGCCTTGTCTATTGTTTTTAATAGAACCCCAAAGCAGAACTTTTTGCTTGTGGGATGTGCGTCTACTGTACTGCGATTGGACAGGATTTAGATGGCTGTGTTTAAGTATGAAAAGCAGATAATTTTAAAAAAAGTTAAAAAAAAAATTAAAAAAAATAAAAACCACTGGAGTTTGTTTTCCAAGTTTTGAAGATGTTTCCCTTCCGATCCAGAAAGCTTTTTCAATTCAAAATGTCTGGAAAAGTGTTGAGTTCTAAGCTTTATAGAGTAGCCCAACAAAGCCTTGTTATGGCTTAGAAAACATGCAAATTGAACCAGAAGAACAAGTCCACCCCTTAGTTACCTTTGTTAGTGTACAATACCCGATACTGGCCTATGCCTCTGAAAGGTGGAGTTGT